AAACGAGACCTATGTCTATCATCATGTACTAAACTACAGTAAAAATGGATCAAAGTTCTAAATATTAAAACAGAAAAACTGAATCTACTGGAAGAGAAAGTAGGTAGAAATCTTGAAGATATAGGTGTAGGAACAGATTTCATGAACAAAAATCCCAAACTGCACAGGAAATACTTCAAAAATCAACATCCCGGAACTCATCTTATTAAAACAATTTTGCACAAGGGGCTGGAGATTTAGCTTAGCGGCACAGTGCCTGCCCGGCAAGCGCAAGGTCGTGAGTTCGATCCCTGGTACCAGAAAACGGAAAACAAAAAACAAAAAACAAAAAAAAATCAATTTTGCACAACAAAAGAAATCACCAACAGAGTGAAAAGACAACCAACAGAATGGGAAAAACATTTAGCCAACTGTCCCTCAGACAAAGGATTTCTATCTAGAACATACAAAGACTTGAAACATATTAGGCCCCCAAATTCAAAGCTCCAATGCAAAAATGGGCACCTGAGATGAATACACACTTCTCAAATGAAAAAATACAAATGGTAAATAAATATTTGAAAAAATGTTCAACTTCATGGATCATTTGAGACATGCAAATTAAAATATCACTGAGATTCTATCTCACCCCAAAAAGAATGGCTATCATCAAGAAATCAATAACAAAGGCTGGCGAGACTGTGGGGAAAAAGGAACCCTTCTCCATTGTTGGTGAGAGTGCATGTGGAAATCGGTATACAGATTCTTCAAAAAGCTAGGATTAGGGGCCCGGTGTGGTGGAGTAGGCCTGTAATCCCAGCACTTGAGAAGCTGAGACAGGAGGATCGTTGCAAGTTCAAGGCCAGCCTGGGCTACAAAGTGAGTTCAAAGCCAGCCTGAATTACATAGCGAGACCTTGTCTCAAAAAGACCTAAAATATGGAAGAAAGTATAAGAAAATGACTTACTACTCTAAGAATGAGTAAATCCTTGGAAATAAAAATGTAAAACCACAAATCTAAAGTGGCCTTGGAAAAGATACAAAAGGTAGTATTAAGGATTTCTCATCAGCAAAGAAAATTCTCAAGGAAATCAAAATGCAGATGGAAAAATTACAAAAAAGTAAGTTGATTCTCTACCAGTGATAATAAAATACCTTGAAAAACAACAACAAAACAATGCTCATCAGAAATATGAGAACATGATACAAGCAGATAATTTACAGATCTCTCACAAGAAATAGAAAAAGGCCTAAACATTGAGGCATACAAGACAGAAAAAAAATGAGAAGCAATTAAATTTCACTATGAATCCATGAAACGTGTCGAATTAGAAAAGATCCAGTGTTGATGTTTATGAGAAACAGAAACTATAGCCCACTGGTGGTGACTGAAATATGGATGAACTGTAATAAGATTTTAAACAATAAACATTCTATGCTCCAGCAAAGAAGCTCCTGAGCATTCATCAGACTGTCTCAAATCTGCTCCTGGGACAGTAAGTCAGAGAATGTTCCTTGGTGCATTTACATCAGTGACCGAATTACACAAGCCTGCTCTCCCATAACTGCGGAAGAGCAAATAAAATGTTATGCACACAAACAATGGAGAGGAATGACATCCACATACACAAGTGAGAATAAATCTGGAAAATAAGAAAACCAATTTCAGCGACTCTCTACACAGTATTTTGTCTGTAGTTGCACACGCTCTCCTTGTCTCACCAACTGAACTACATCTCAGATGTCACCAGGGTGAAAACCAGAACAGGCTCCAATGCTTTTTGCTGTATGGTAACACCCACAGGAGGATACAGACAGACTAAAAGGTGCTTGGAACTAACGCTCTGTGCTTTACCTCAGCTGTGTCATAGGCCATTTCCATGGGCATCTTCAGGATAGCAACATGGAAGGTGTGTCCACAGTGTGTGGGCAAGTCAAGAGAACTTAGGGAATTCAGGCATTGCAGGCAATTGGAACTTATGGAACATATGACAAAGGCCCATAGTCACCTCTTCTTCCACATAATAATACACATCATTGCAAAGATAAAGGTCTTAAAAGTAGTAGTAATGGACAGACATGCCTTCAACTCTTTAATATCATGGAAATGGAAAAGGGATTACATGAGTGGGAAAAGTGGGTTAGGAAGGCAGATGTTTACCCAAGGTTAAAACAGTTAGAAAGGTTTTCAAAATCAGAATAATTAGAAGTAGGAATGGAAGTGCTTTCCCCTCAGTCTTATACATGATTGATAGCTTGAGTTCCAAATGCTCAGGCCTGTATTTGGTCAATAAAAATCTCTATCATATCCCCTTCTTGGGGGCTGGGGATTTAGCTCAGTGGCACAGCACCTGCCTGGCAAGCACAAGGCATGAGTTCGATTCCTGGTACCAGAAAAAAAAAACAAAAACCATATCCCCTTCTTATGGTGATGTAAGTCAGACAGTATGATCTGACTGGGGCACCTCAATAGTAATAATAAAACAACCAAACCAAATCTAAGCAAACAAAGAAACAACTGTCAAAATACAAAGTAGTATTCCCTTTTTCAAGTATTAGTCATATGCTTCTCCTCACTCAGTTGCTCAGGGGAAATCGATTAACACAGGCCTCAAAAAAGGAAACAACAATCTGATGATTATTATGTTTTACAGCTCAACTGCTGAAGAGTTAAAGTAGACACATTACTTGAGTTAGAAAGGAAAAATATCACCCAAAGGAAGTTCAAAGACAATGTGTTAAAAATACAGAGAATGGGCCTGATCAAGAAAATGTTACTGCTAAGCCTTGGATCTTTTAAACCTACTCAACACACCCGCTTGATCCATATTTGGTAAAATATATGTAACACAATACAAAACCATAAGAAAGTACTAAATATCTCCTGCACTTTATTGAACACAGTGCACTGTAAAGCACTGCTTGTTCACCACTGCTGTCCTGTAGCTGACAGAGGAGTGATTCATGACTGCTGTCCACCATCATCAGCAAGTATTGTACCATATATGGCTAGTGTACACACAAAAAAAAAAAAAAACCAAAAAGAAGCCTCCAACGAAAAAATTTCCTCCTAATCCTCAAAAACGGAAAATTAACAAAGGCCCAAGAAAAGGTAAAAGAAGTAACTGTTCAGTGGAGAAAAATCACAGAATTTATATTTCATACTAAAAACGGATCTTGCTTAATTGTCCAGGCTGCATGCTGTAACACTTGTCTCGCTCTCCCATGTGCCTGAGAGTAAAGGGGTGAAGGACCACATCTCAATATTTTTACTTTATCAAAGCACTGAAATCTTGGTAAATCTTGACAATAAAAAACCCCAATCTTAAACTGGCATAATGGTACATGCGTGTCATCCCAACAGTCAATGAGGCACAAAAACTATTAAAAGGTCTCAATATCCTGGGCAACTTAGTACGACATGATCTCAAAATTTAAAACTTGGGGGTACATAGCTCAGATCAAATCTCCAGAGTTCAGCTTATCTACAATGAGAACATCAAGCACACCTTGAAATCTTCACGTCCTGAGGAAACCCTTTTCATTTATTTTCAATGATAGCATCCAAACAACTTTTTAAACTACACCACGACCAGACAGTTTCCTCATTTTTGATTTTGCCTTAAAAATGATAACATGAACTGATCAGTAACAGCAGACCCATTTATCTATTTCTAAGTTTTATTCCTTTATTTAAGCCTGTGATTTCTGGCCAACTCAAAGATGATGCAAGAACACAATTCTTCCTTCGTTTTTACCCTGAGAACAATCTGACTTTCAGAGACCTTCTATGTTGTAATTCCTACTACTGGGACCCTTCATCATGCCAACCTAGTCCACATCCTTTCCACTCTCCTTTATACATCCCAAGCAAAAAACTCTTCATGTCTAACAATTAATATCCATGCACCACTTCTATTTGGGGCTTTTCCTTTATGCCATTACAGTTTTAAAGTCTATCTCAGAGAGCATTTCAGTATTTACACAATGTCTGTGATCAGGCCAAGTTGTACAGCTATTAATTCAGAGATGACACCCCTGTTCCTTGCCACACATACAAATATCATATATATATACATGCAAATGCCCAAATTCAGGCGTTTTTCAGAGAGGGTTTAACAGGCAGCTGATCCTGGAAGTTGTCCTTAGCAAGTACACGTAACCCTGCCCTTGCTAATATATTAACATCTACTCCATTTTTCTCAGAACTCTAAACTCTATAGAAGTTCTTACTGAATAGTCTGTGAGTAGGGGTGTTGCCTAAGTAATCAAGATTGTGAATTTTTTTTTTGGCATTTCTCTGAATAGAACCGAAGAGTTCACAGGGGGTTTGGCAAGTGATCCACCACTGAGCCACATCACCACACAATTTCTCAGGACCTTTGTCAACACCTATCATGCATCTGAAAATATGAGGACATACTGGAAATTTAGGAGACTACTATAAACAAAACAAAGGGCTGGGGATTTAGCTCAGCGGCAAAGCGCCTGCCTGGCAAGCGCAAGGTCGTGAGTTCGGTTCCCGGTACCGGAGAAAAGCCAAAAACAAAACAAAACATAAATATAAACAAAACAAGAAGTTTGAGGACTGGTGTTGTGGCTATGAGGTCCTGCATCACAGACATTTATAAACCTCAGATCCTCCAGATCTGCTGCTTTTAGGAATGAGAACGGGGAGCTAGCTCACTACAGCGGCACCCAGCTCCAAAACACATCTGTGTCAGGGTCTCTCAAGCCCGTTTCTCTGCCCAGTGTGGTGGAGGTGCCGGGGCAGTAGGGGGTTTCAAAGACCGCATTGTGGACTGCTGGTGTCAGAGCGGGGGCAGGGTTCTGGGGACCCAGAACTACACTTGCCCCACCAAAGGGGAAAAGAGACAGAAGATGACTCACTGCCAGTCCTGGAGGGCCTCAGGGTCTGAAGCAAATCAGGGAGGCTCTATCCACCATAGCTGCTTCTGATCACTTCTAACTGGTCTCGCTTGACTCCGCCCCATTTTAAGGCTCCCATCCCACCACGTCACCATTGTGTGGCTTGAGGGTCTCCCAGGTTCTTTCTTAAGCAGGCCACAGCGAACAGAAGCCACAAAACGCGGTTTAGCAAGCATTCAGCGCTCAATATTCCGCTCTGGACACGCAACTGACTCCATGACACCGGAAAAGCCCTCCTACCTTGGCCCACCCGATTGGACAGTTCATATAGCCCGCCCTTTTATCGCCATTGGCTCCTGCTCTATTGCTCTCCCCCTGAGCTAAGAATTAACATAGAAACAAACCCCTACTTGTAAAAGTGGATTCCAAATGAAAGATTGCACTGCAGAGACTTCTGGAACAGGCTGTCTTCTACACCGCTTACCTCACCTTGCCTGAGGAATATTTGCGCTGAAGGGCTTTATCTCTGCCTTTTCAGTGCTGATCCTGTTTTCTTAAAGGACTCAGTGGGCTCTTCCTGTAATAGGTTTCAAATGTGTTCAAAAGGTTTCAAGTTCAATATTCTTATGTCAACTCTCTCGGACAGGCTTGCTACTCATCCAGGGTCATAAAAGACCTGAATTCTGAAAGTATATTGTCAAGCACAAGAGTCACAATGTTAGGGGCTGGGGATGTAGCTCAGCGGCAAAAGTGCTTGCCTGGCAAGCGCAAGGTCGTGAGTTCGGTTCCCGGTACCGGAGAAAAAAACCAAAAAAATAAAAATAAAAAAGAGTCACAATGTTAGCTGAAATGAAGCCACATCTCTCATACAATCAACGATTTATGTGTGATGAGGCAGGGAGACCTAAGAACTTCAAACTCTAGTCTCCACATGCCCTATAGTTCCCATCTCACAGATTGAAACTCGTCTCCTCAGGACTTTAATATTCCTAGAAGGACTGTACTGCCTGGAACAATATGACACACTTGTTAACAACTTGTCTGGCTTCAGAGATATATAGGATATTATTAAAGTACACTTCTAGGTGTGCTTCGTGTTGTCATGTGAGTTTGACCAGATGTAACATATTTGGTCCATGGAACAGGCTGTCTCTCAGGCTCCTTCACTGCTGTCTGGGTCGCTGATCTTAAAAAGAATTTACATTTTCTTCTTTACTTCTCTTAGCCAAGATATTTCCACATTGGAACAGTGCAACTCGGACTGCAGCCTCTGACAGAGTGAGACAAAATAAATGTATTTGTCTCATTGTGAAATGTTAAAGCAGAATGGACTCAATTTTCTGAAGAATAGCTTGAAAACACATATTCCAATACTAGCATTCCTTTGTACTTTGAATAATGCCTGAATGTTAGAAATTTTTAGATACTGAATATGTTATATTCATGTGTATACATAAGTAGATATCCTAAAGATGGGTTCCTGCCAAAACTCCAAGCTCAGTCTATTCATATACATCTACATACAGTACCTAAATGCAATTGCATACATTTTCATGATTCAGTTGTCAGATTATACTACTCAAAGCTGTAAATATCTTTGGATAACATTTTGACATTAAATTGAACTTTGCCTCATGTCCTTGGTTGCCATGTTTCTGCTCACACACTGACTCTTGAAGAACATTCTTTTTCCATGTGAGTGCACATTACCCTAGATATCTCCAACAATTTTTGCATTCTTTTCCAACTTCCTGTCTATCCCCAGTGGTTCCTGTATTGTAGATTTGAAATATAAGGACTCATTATATAAACACATAAAATTTAATTGATTTTAATAAAATTGATGATATAATGTAACCAGGACTGAGGTATTTTTCAAAATATTTTCATATTCTTTTTAATGAAACAGCACGGATGAGCAACAAACAATATTCTCTGAGAGTATAAGTGAGAAAAAAATGTCATCCTCATCTATAGCAGCCATGTTCCTAAAGCTTTCCCCCTATCACATCTCTGTAGAGCTGCTTTAGGGATGGACTGAGCAAAGCCCATTTGTCATTGGTGAAGTTCACAGCCACATCCTTAAAAGTCACTGCCTGCTAAATGATCATACATATGTTTCTCAAAGGAAGGTTGGGACTCACAACTTGGGATATCTCAACTCCTCTCATAAAAAGTTAAATTGAGAGCCAAGTGTGGTGGTGCCTATCTGTAATCCCAGCACTCAGGAAGCTGAGGCAGGAGGATCGCCATGAGTTCAAGACCAGAGTGTGCTCCACAGTGAGATTAAGGCCAGCCTCAACTAAACAATGAAAGACTGTCTCAGTAAAACAAAACAAAAGAACTGAATGGAGAATAAATCCTCCAAATCTTAATTCTATGACTTGGTCATCAATCTCTTGTGTATCCACAGTTTTTTTCAGACAGCAATTCTGATGCTAGACTGCAAATCATTGCTAATGCAGCAGTAGAATAGGAGCATTGATTTTCACTGGGTCTTGTCAAGGGTATCTGTGCACTGTCTCTAAAGCAAAGCTCACAGTGGGAGCCTACAAGACCACCATCCACAAAGCACAGGGGCAGATGAATATCTAATGAATCACTTTGATAGACTGTAGGTAATATCTCTTTTCAAATCTCAATATCTATGGCATTAATTTCTTCTTTCTTTGATTATCCTTAAGCAGAATTTTGAAACTTGAATTTGGGTTCACAGAAAAAGTCATAATGGAACATTAAATATGGTATATAAATAATAACTAAAATGTTAATGGAAAAACAGTTTTATTGGAACAAGTCTATTAACAACAAAAATAGGCAAAAGCTGGCAAATTATTTTATAGCTAAGTGTCAGCAAATGATCACCTTCCACTCAGATATAAGAAATTGTATGGTAGTGTGAGGGAAAGATGAATAAAATGTATTCTATGCATTGAAAAACAAAATATGACAGAGTAATCAGGCACAAAAGGAAAATTTCAACGAAGTGTGGTGGTACATGCCTGCAACCACAGCCCTTGGGAGGCTGATGCAGGAGAACTGCCTTTAGTTGGAGGCCAGCCTCATTTACATAGCTATCTGAAATACAAAGAGGGACCCTGACTCAAACTCCCCACTAACAAAGTAAATCTTTGAAAAAAAAATGACCCTTCCAACACCCAGAAATCGATAGCATTCCTATACACAAACAACAAACAGAATGAGAGAGAAATTAAGGAAACCATTCCTTTCACAATAACATCCAAGAAATTGAAATACCTAGGAATCCATCTAACAAAGGAAGTCAAAGATCTCTTCAATGAAAACTATAGTACTTTGAAAAAAGAGATCG